CAACACCAACAACACCCAAACTCTTCGTGATCTCTTTCACGCCTTTTTGCCAAGTCATGTGCTGTCCACCTCGCGGTTTGCGCCATCCTGAAGGAGGCACGGAGAACAACACTCGTCTCGGTAGACGGTGTTTTGGCATGCGTAGCACATGACCGAGCCATCGTAGTCGATGATGCTGGATGTTTTCCCGGATTGAGATTCCTGCAGCATAACCAAATACCCGTTTTCTAATCGCCTCGTTGCTGATACGCTGACGCCATCCGAAACCAGCCACGCTTCTGAGGCATCGGTGGTCGTTATAGATATTGATGTGGTCCGCCTGGAGATGGTACAGTCAATTTGAATTCGGGGTTGATTCATATCTGAGGGTGATACAGAGAAGCAGCACGCGGCCGTTTTACATGGGACTGAGGATATCAACAAGGTTTTTGCAATATGGAGTTGAATCCGAGACAACCACCCTACTGAGCCTTGGAAGCGCTCGGCTTGTCCACTTGCGAGTTCACATCTCTAGCAACCACGATGAAATCTTAGTCCCAAGAGTGCTTCGACAAAGGAGGGCGAAAGTAAGTACAAGGAAAAGACAACAACTAGCAGCTCGCCTATGAGCGCATCCAAGGTCCCACGAAGCACAAAGAGGTGACTGTTATCGCGTATCTAGTCAAAAGGATATGAATCCAGTCAGTCGCAAAGGCATCCGAAACGCTACAGGTGCATGGCTGAAGTGGCTTACTTTGAAGGCTGTTCCTAGGCCACCAGAATAGTGGAGTCAGACCCATGTGCCGCAGAAGTCTGTAGTTATATTTGTCTAAATGTATGGCCACTGATGACAGATAAATCTGGCATCCCTTTATGAGGACTGAGTTCCAGATGTTCACGGACACTTTCCCTGGAACACATGCATGTCCTGGCTAGCTGCGGAGTGCGACACACGGAGTTACCAATTCTTAGACATGGGTTAAGTGACGCGCGTCGACGGCCAGAAAATGGAAAAGAGGAAGGAGCCTGGGTATTTTCAACCAACCTTCCCAATGAGTCACAAGAGCAAAATGGGTCGTGGGTTGTACGAGAGTTTTCAGCGACCTTTGAGTAGTGTGTCCCGTCTGGACAATGTATTAAAATATACCAAACATCGTTCTAACCGAATTATCAGGTCTCTGTGCAGCACGTCCAGATGAAGATTCTGTCAGTAGTCAGCCAAGTCTCTCGTTAAAACCAAGTTAGTTTGTGGATGAGTGTATTTCGTGTGTATTCCAAATCGTTTATTCAGGCATCTCTCATCAATGGGAATGTCTCGAGTTGAGGAGCAAAATACGCTGATGAAAGCAGCTTCTAATACCTGTGACGACCGAACTGTGGCAAGGTAGGC